AAGTGACTCTTTGATGGAACGAAGTGACTCTTTGATGGAACGAAGTGGTTGGAACGAAGTGACCATGGAACGAAGTGACCGTCTTTGAAAGCATTCGAGAGAAAACGGTCTTTCGGTGCCCCTGAACGCTAACAACAAGAAAAATCGCTATCCACTGTATAACTGTTTAAACAAAACAATCGCCACTATCCGCTGGACAGTGATTTATCCGGTAAATAGCGTTATTCGCCTTTCAAACAACCGGGCCTGGGGCCTGTTTCTCGAAAGCCCCGGAAACTTTTCGGGCCCGAAAAGCCATTTTTAATTTAGTTAATCGGTACTTAAAGACAGAGAGGTGTATACGCCTGAAACTTCTTGTACGGAATGGAACCTCTGTTTATACTAAAAATATGTGAATAAAACAGCTCTGTAATCATAAGGTTTGAGATTTTGCTACTACACGGCTTTCCAGGGGCGAATACTTTCCAGGACCTTCGAGAAACGGGCCCCTGGCGTTTAAAATGAGGTATATTGACAGCATCATTTCAAACGGGCGTGGCCATACAAAACCCGCTAAGGGAAGCCGTCTTCTATTTTGTGGGTTCAATCGATATAACGTCCTCCTCAGTAAGCCCGTCATTCTCAATTCCAATGCTTGCAGCGCGATTGTCAAACTTCACAAGGTCCGCCAGGCACGTGTCAAAGCCCATGTAGTACGTGAACTCGTTGCAAAATATTCCTGTCGCGTTAAAAAGTCTGAAGACTTTCTTCCACTGCTCGAGTTCCGGGTACAGCTGGAGAACTCTGCCCGTGTTCAGGTGGTGATTTTTGCCCCAGTGAGGTCTGGCTTTGAATTTCTCATACAGTCTGTCCTCGATGGTCTTATGGTATTCTTCAATGCCAAATGCGCCGGGTAGAAAGGGAACCTATCATCAAAGATGTTTACATCATTTTAGCAGTTGTGGAATATGCATATTCTATGCATAGGACTGGAACTAGCTTGCAAGTGAGGCTAGTGAGGGGAGTCTTTTCAAATGCAAATGAAATTAATCTCTTTATAATGGTATTCCCCCGACTCCACTGCTAGCTAGTTCAAAAATGAAAATAGCTTATTTTCATTTCTCCAGCTCTTATCGGAAGTTGCATTCTTACCAGAAATATAACCCTTGCTGGAAGTTTGACACTTATCAGTTCAGAAGTGAAATTTTCCCACCAAACCGCGAAAAGAGGTTGATTCTAGATC